CACACACATACACAAACTGCAACCACCACAACGTTTAATATAGCCAATGACAGAACGCAAGAAAAAAAATGTAAACTGATCCTTGTCACAGGTCTAAAGCATGTATAAACTGGTAGACCTTCAACTATACTACAGACTTCAACATAAGTTAAGGACCGCTTCTTGGGTCGACTTGCACGTGGGCGTTCTTGGACTGATCCAGTGGCTTGATGGCGCTACTTCAAGCGGAAAATGACAGAGTGTGACACTGCAGGCCTTCTAGCAACTTCTCGGGCTCCAACTCCATTTTGCAGCCATGCCATAGCTCTGGCACGATCAAAGTCTCTCAGTTTTCGTCTGAGTGGCATATTGATACGATACTGGATTTTGCGCAAACGGTGTCTTATATTGCCACAAAAGTGAGCGCAGTTCGAGACCGTACATCCGTTTATGACGATTACCAGAAATTTTAACTTAGGAATGTCCGCAGTGTTGCACATAATAAAGGTCAGGGCTGTCTGTCAAGGTGGTCTTTGACTTTTGTTGAAGTCTGTACTTGTCAGAACGCTCCGGTAGTAAACCTAAAACTAAACCAGCATCGGAAATATTGCTCTGCAGGTTCCTAAAAGGCTTGGGAAATTCCAGGAAATCATCAGTGGAAATTCCACACGCACCAAAGACATCATCAGCCGTGTTGTGGAGAGAAGGTAAGTCCAGCTGGTCTCGTTCATTCTACAGAGGTAGACTAGATGGGTAGATGGGTGGTCTGGTTAACTCTACAGTTGTGGACTAGATAGGTAGATGGCTGGAATACGGATTATGTATCTAGCTTAACACTATTACTAGTATTACTGTTCATCTATATTATTCTGCTGTGAGCCTGTTTGTTATATTATTATGTTTATGTGTACAGATTTATGTGGGGGGGAAACGATGTGTGAGAATGTGTGTGTGTATGTGTGTATGTACTTGTGTGTGCGTGTGTGTGTGTGTGTGTGTGTGAGAGTGAGAGAGAGGGTGTG